TGACCTACAACGTGTAATGTATTAAGACTCAGATGAAACCATATCGACCTACAGCATGTAATGTATCAGGACACTGATGAAACCACGTCGACCTGCAGCATGTAATGTATTAGGACACAGATGAAACCACATTGACCTACAGCATGTAATGTATTAGGACACAGATGAAACCACATTGACCTACAGCGTGTAATGTATTAGGACACAGATGAAACCACATTGACCTACAGCATGTAATGTATTAGGACACTAATGAAACCACGTTGACCTACAGCATGTAATGTATCAGGACACAGATGAAACCACATCGACCTACAGCGTGTAATGTATTAGGACACTGATTAAACCACATCGACCTAGAGCATGTAATGTATTAGGACACAGATGAAACCACATCGACCTACAACCTGTAATGTATTAAGACTCAGATGAAACCATATCGACCTACAGCATGTAATGTATCAGGACACTGATGAAACCACGTCGACCTGCAGCATGTAATGTATTAGGACACAGATGAAACCACATTGACCTACAGCATGTAATGTATTAGGACACTAATGAAACCACATTGACCTACAGCGTGTAATGTATTAGGACACAGATGAAACCACATTGACCTACAGCATGTAATGTATTAGGACACTAATGAAACCACGTTGACCTACAGCATGTAATGTATTAGGACACAGATGAAACCACATCGACCTACAGCATGGAATGTATTAGGACACTAATGAAACCACGTCGACCTACAGCATGGAATGTATCAGGACACTGATGAAACGACATCGACCTACAGCGTGTAATGTATTAGGACACTGATTAAACCACATCGACCTAGAGCATGTAATGTATAAGGACACAGATGAAACCACATCGACCTACAGCATGTAATGTATTAGGACACAGATGAAACCACATCGACCTACAGCATGGAATGTATTAGGAGACTAATGAAACCACGTCGACCTACAGCATGTAATGTATCAGGACACTGATGAAACCACATCGACCTACAGCGTGTAATGTATTAGGACACTGATTAAACCACATCGACCTAGAGCATGTAATGTATTAGGACACAGATGAAACCACATTGACCTACAACGTGTAATGTATTAAGACTCAGATGAAACCATATCGACCTACAGCATGTAATGTATCAGGACACTGATGAAACCACGTCGACCTGCAGCATGTAATGTATTAGGACACTGATGAAACCACATTGACCTACAGCATGTAATGTATTAGGACACTAATGAAACCACGTTGACCTACAGCATGTAATGTATCAGGACACAGATGAAACCACATCGACCTACAGCATGGAATGTATTAGGACGCTAATGAAACCACGTCGACCTAGAGCATGTAATGTATCAGGACACTGATGAAACCACATCGACCTACAGCGTGTAATGTATTAGGACACAGATGAAACCACATCGACCTACAGCATGTAATGTATTAGGACACTAATGAAACCACGTTGACCTACAGCATGTAATGTATCAGGACACAGAGGAAACCACATCGACCTACAGCATGGAATGTATTAGGACACTAATGAAACCACGTCGACCTACAGCATGTAATGTATCAGGACACTGATGAAACGACATCGACCTACAGCGTGTAATGTATTAGGACACTGATTAAACCACATCGACCTAGAGCATGTAATGTATTAGGACACAGATGAAACCACATTGACCTACAACGTGTAATGTATTAGGACACTGATGAAACCATATCGACCTACAGCATGTAATGTATCAGGACACTGATGAAACCACATCGACCTACAGCCTGTAATGTATTAGGGCACTGATTAAACCTCATTGACCTACAGCATGTAATGTATTAGGACACTAATGAAACCATATCGACCTACAGCATGTAATGTATTTGGACACTGATGAAACCACATTGACCTACAGCGTGTAATATATTAGGACACTGATGAAACCACGTCGACCTGCAACATGTAATGTATTAGGACACTGATCAAACCATATCGACCTACAGCATGTAATGTATTAGGAAACTGATTAAACCACATTGACCTACAGCATGTAATGTATTAGGACACTAATGAAACCACGTCGACCTACAGCGTGTAATGTATTAGGACACTGATTGAACCACATTGACCTACAACATGTAATGTATTAGGACACTAATGAAACCACGTCGACCTACAGCATGTAATGTATTAGGACACAGATGAAACCACATCGACCTACAGCATGTAATGTATTAGGACACAGATGAAACCACGTCGACCTACAGCATGTAATGTATCAGGACACTGATGAAACCACATCGACCTACAGCATGTAATGTATTAGGACACAGATGAAACCACATCGAGCTACAGCCTGTAATGTATTAGGACACAGATGAAACCACATCGACCTACAGCATGGAATGTAATAGGACGCTAATGAAACCATATCGACCTACAGCATGTAATGTATCAGGACACTGATGAAACCACATCGACCTACAGCGTGTAATGTATTAGGACACTGATGAAACCACATTGACCTACAGCGTGTAATGTATTAGGACACAGATGAAACCACATTGACCTACAGCATGTAATGTATTAGGACACTAATGAAACCATATCGACCTACAGCATGTAATGTATTAGGACACTGATGAAACCACATTGACCTACAGCGTGTAATGTATTAGGACACTGATGAAACCATATCGACCTACAGCATGTAATGTATTAGGACACTGATGAAACCACATCGACCTACAGCATGTAATGTATTAATACGATGTGCCGTTGAGATTGACATCCAATGATCGAGGGAAAAAAATACCAGCGCCTTGAGCATGTACTAGTTGGGACACTGATAAAACGATCTCGACCCACACGTCCCTTATGTGTCTGGTTGTTTTCCTGAAGCCCGATAGGCGCACTTATCATACTGATTGCAGATCAAACATGATTTTGAGCATTCTTTGCCTTCAATAAACATATCAACATATGTGAATACGTTTCTGTGCCTGTTTTTGTATGTGTGTATATACACGCGAAACACATGGTATTATTCTGAAGAGTGGAGTTTTCAATGTTTTACTATGAAAGCTATCTCTTTTTATTGAAACAGGAATACATGCGAACAGTATTGGTTTATGGTACATCAATGAGTTATTTTTTGTAAAGGTTTAGAGTACAAAACGGGATACATATTTCATCTTGCATTGACAAGTGTGTACCTGTCGTGAGATTTATTACAACTGAAAATTATTATTTAATTGCCTATTCAATATTTATAGTTGCGATTCATAGCAATCAGGGTAGTTAATTTACACTAAATAGACTAAGGTTTACTTTAACCTATTTTACTTTAAAACTCTTTTTGGAAGTAAGATTACGGATTCATAATTACGGAAGAATACAGTTTTGAAATAGTTTTAATTAATATTGTGCTATTGTTACTGGCATGCCAAATTTAATTCTTACCGACGATTAATCTAGGCTGAAAACAAACAGGAAAGAGACAGTGTCGGTGACCTAAATTAACAATCCTCGTTCATCGATAACTGACGTGCTGTCCTATTGACGTGTGATCGGGACCACAACCCCTTGGATGAAAATTACTACACTCTCCCAACAAAGAAACGCAAAGGTGGTTTTATTGTTATAATATCGCCATGATAGAGCTGGTTTGTGTACATGGAAGGAGTGCACAGTGCAAAAACGCATCTTCGGAAACTTAAATGCACGTTTACGTTCGAAAGTGACAACTTGCATGAAAATGTTAGGGAAAAAAGTGGTTCGCAATATGCAGGTCTGAGGAATCGTGAGCCGTTTGAGTATATGAGGCCGTTTTGCATTTAGACGGTTATTTTTAATTTTTAGTTAAATGAAAGAATAACATGCCGTGAGTCACTGCTTTAAATTGAAACATTGCCGTTGGACGTCAGGAGGCCGTAGCAGGTTATCTCAGTGTTCACCAGAGTACCACCAGTCCTCTATTGGACCGACCTCAACAAACCATTCGCACGAAAGATCGGCCTCAAAGTGATAGACATGTGGCGCAATAAAGTTCGATTCTGGAATCTACAAAACTAGCGACGTGTTTGGTTCAGTGCCGAATCACGCTTTCTGCTTCAATGCCGTGACGGAAGAGTACGTGTCTGTCGACGTCGAAATGAACGTTTTGCCCAGAATTGTGTCGCCCAGGTTGATTGATATGGTGGTGGAGTGTCATGTTGTGGGGGACCATATCCCACACGCAGAAAGTTAACTTTGTGCGCATTCAGGGCAATTCACATTATAGTCGCTACAGAGACAAATCTTCACATAGTTCCTATCATTGACAGCCGGAGGGAGTTGTGCAAGATAATGAGGTGAAATGGGGTTAACGTCATATGATTATTTCGCTCATATGACGACGTGTATGCGTGTGTATGTGTGACGGTTTGTACTAGCCCAGACTTAAGCCGCTTCTATAGTGTCAGCTCACTGAGATTCCATGCCACAGTTAAGCATGTATGTGTGACGGTTTATACTAGCCCAGACTTAAGCCGCTTCTATAGTGTCAGCTCACTGAGATTCCATGCCACAGTTAAGCATGACTACCCCACTCAGACACATCATACTGACTCCTTGTAATACCCATTAATGCCGAGCGTCAGGCAGGGACCAACAAGCGTCATATTTTAACTTTTTTGGGGTATGACCCGCGACTTCATCGCTCTCCGGGCGGATGCTCTAACTACTACACCACGGAGGCGGTCGCAAGATAATGCCAGGCCTCGCACAGCACCTGCCACTATTCAGTATCTTTTATACTATTAAATTTTGGCTGCCACTGATCCATAATTACATGTGCTATCTCACTTTAAAGTTTGCAGATCGTGACAATACCTATGAGTTTCCTTTTCGGGAGAGTATATATACATAGTTTTAATCCGTGATGTATAAGAACAAAACGTCAATGTGTGTATGATTTTGTATGTTGTAGTTGACTGTGGAGCTCCCCCCAACATCAGTAACACCGTCGTGTCTGATGGCGGGACCCTGGAGGGGAGCAACCGAACCTACTTTTGTGACGAGAACAGAGTGCCAAGTGGGAACCGCTACATCACCTGTCTGACCAACTCATCATGGAGTAAAACTGACTTCAAGTGCAAGGGTAGGAACTTCCGTCAGTGTAGACAAAAATATATCTGCTGTGTAATTAAATCTTGTATCTGTTTACTATTCCCGGTCTTGCTTTTCCTCTATAATATACGTATGTGTATAGGGGTCTGTCCTTTCTAACATAAGTACGTGTATACACAGGGGTCTGTTCTTTCTAACATAAGTACCTGTATACACAGGGTTCGGTCCCCTCTGAGAAAAGTACCTGTATACACAGGGTTCGGTCCCCTCTGAGATAAGTACCTGTATACACAGGGTTCGGTCCCCTCTGAGATAAGAACGTGTATACACAGGGGTCGGTCCCCTCTAAGATAAGTACGTGTATACACAGGAGTCGGTCCCCTCTAAGATAAGTACGTGTTTACACAGGGGTCTGTCCCCTCTAAGGTAAGTACGTGTATACACAGGAGTCGGTCCCCTCTAAGATAAGTACGTGTATACACAGGGATCGGTCTCTTCTAAGCTAAGTACGTGTATACGACTTGTCCCGGCATAACACGATTTGGCCACGAATACTTGAAGAAAACCTGCACAATATTTCATGTTACGACAGACTATTATACAAACGTAAATGCAGATTCATGTGTGTACACCGAGGGTAAGAGCAGATAACGGCTGATGACGAGATAACCATTGCCTGATATGTTTCAGTGGACTGCGGACAGCCTCCTCCCGTCCCCCACGCTAACAGTACGTACAACAGCACATATTTGTACGGTAGCGCGACGTATGAATGTCTTCGTGGCTACAAGGCAGCTGGGGTCAACGAACAAACATGTACGGCAAACGGCCATTGGTCTAATCACTCGTTCAGCTGCACCGAAGGTAAGTTTTTCTCCATCTTCACACCCGGCGGGATAAGTTGATATCAGTTAGTTCTAAGCATAATTCTACAATTTAGGCTGATAGAAAATCCATATGTGCGTATTTAGTACATGGCCTTCCATATGAAATTGAACAAAGTGAGATTTTATGATTCAGTAATTAAAATGTTCATTCGTCACCCCTCTCCGCTTTCAATCTCAATGAAAACTCACCCCCATATCACTGAATGGTATGTGAGAAAAAAGGCGCAGAAAGCGCAGGAAAGTTTGAAGTATTTTGGCAGACAGGAAGCACGAATACTTAAAACAGTTATCAGATGTTACCGGGCTAACTTGACTCGATGTGGTGACGAATGTAAATCGTTATGATGATATTACGCTACTCTTGGAGTTGTGTTTTTTCCTGAAACGTTGAGCTTTTTAAAAGATATTAACGTCAAAGTTTCATTAATGTTTAAAGTATTTTCATGTAGAAAGTAAAAACGGCGAGAACCATGGGACATGTATATGTAGTTCTTACTGGTAGCTTCTATTTGGTTACGGCATCATTGTCGACGTCCAACTTTCTGGCGTTTCTCGTTTTCACAGAACCTACAGAAACAAACATGCTAAACCACAGACAGGTTAATAAATAGTGCCCAGAATAGTAAATGGGCATTTTGAAAATGATTATGGTTGAATTCGAAAGCACTGAAAGATCGTCTTGCCCAGAAAGTAAACCATCTGATTTGAACAAGTATACGGTGCTGGCTGAGAACAAGACAACGAAGAAATGGTTATGCAATTGTGGAACAATTGACACGTATAATACTTTTGTTTTGGATCCTGGGTGTCTTGTAAATTGTTTTCAACCTTGTAACGTTTTTCGACCCTTTTGACCATATAAGATTTTCTAGTGAATTCCTTCCTTTTCCCGATAGTTTTTAAAACCAAAACTGTTGGATGTTTGCGTGAATAATTTGTAAAATCGTTTTGTTTGTGAACTTTGGCTTCGCGAGGAGGTCAATGGTTAACGTGACAGGTGTAAGAAATAGAAGGTTCAGATGTTCTGTGTGTCCAAGTTCTATACACGTCATCGTACCCCACTCAAGAGATACAGTCACATTCGTATACAGAACATAAGGGGTGGCACCGAACTTGGGATACACCTGTGCCCCTGCTAACTCTCAACTTTAAGTGGAATGAAATGACTCGTCTAATAAGCCTGCTAGTATAGCGCTTCCATATTAAGCTAGGTGAACATTGAACAAAGAAGCAAAATCGTGATCCTAATGGAGTACATTGCATTAACCAAATCTACACTCTAGGTAAATTGTATAGTCTTTCAATCAACTGCGAGGATAATATGTGGCAAAATTTCCATTACTTTGTTTAAAGCTCTCCTTGGAATATTAAGTATTTTTCTTCTGGATTTTATGTTTTATGATGATGGTTTGTTCATATGAAATATTGCAGTGGCAATAAAACGACATAGCTATAAGGTTCTATTTGGAATATGTTAACAATCGGGGGTATCCAATGCATGTCTACAGTCTAATAAAATGATGCCCCAATTCACTTTTTAGCGTGTGTATTTCTACCTGATAGCATGTGTGATACACATCTAGCAAATAATCGCAAGTTTCAAATGAACATGAATCGTTTGCTGGGAATACAATCTTTGATTGGTATGAATACCCAATTTGTTTAGTTGGAATCATGAAAAATACATCCCCAGAATGGCGGGGAACCTTGGTCTCAAGTAAGTTTTGTATCTATAGAACTCTCTCGGATGTGAATATACAGTGCTGGAAACACTAGTAACACGTAGCAGTGATCAGGTGTTACCTATGTGACATTCCAGTGCAGTGCGTGGATCCCGTGGAAGTTGAGCACGTCGTCCACGAGGGGCAGGGGCCGTGGTACAGCGGAGACACGTTACAGCTTCAGTGTGAGGACGGATTCACAGCATCCGGCAACAGCCAGGCATTTTGCGGCATGGACGGAACATGGCTTAATGTCTCATTACAATGCACAGGTATCAATCGTGTACCAGTGTGAGATAGTTTGGTCAAGAGATACACATACAAATAAGTTGAATGTTAAGGGAGTTTTTATCAAATCAAGGTTGTTACGTAAATGAATGAGCAAAACATTAATTTTGGTAGATAGTTGCATAAATTTTCACCACTGGTGCATGTCCCCACATTGGGGATGTTTCATTCTCAAACGCTCATCTGCCCTTCTTAAGATGGTTATGTTCCATGTTTGCATCCATTTTAGCCTACTTGAGACACTTTCTTCCACATACAGAAGCATTACCCCGTGTCCTGGTTGCCGTAAAGGAAACAGGGAAGTTCCACATCATAGATGTTCGCACCAAGGAGACCGAGGTGTTGCACTTTGAAAGTTCCAAGAGCGTGCAGGACGTTGACTTCTGTCCCTATCTGAAAAAACTCTTCTGGGTGGAGGAAAATTCTATTAAAGCTGCAAACCTTACCGATACAACTACTGAAATGGTTGTCAACTCTACAGGTAACTTGGTAATAGATTACATGTAATAAATATCTCCGATAATTACTTTGTTGATCAATACCGACATGAAATATAACGAGGGACAACTGAAACATTCTAAGACTAAGTAAGAAGGATGTGTTAACATTCCACGCGTACAGGCAGCTTTACAACCCAAACACAACCAGGTTTCAAAGTGACAAAGTATTCTCAGTTGGTCAAAGTAGATAACATGTGCTACCAGGCTTGGGCAGCCGAGTTTCACAGTGGAATGAGGTGCTCTAATGTCAGGAGAACGAACCATGGCGTGAGAGTGGATGGTCGACGACTCCTGTCACAAAACAAATGCAGTAGGCTTCTCTCATTGAACAGAGATGAGAACATTCTGCAGAATGTAGTGGGTATGACAAAGGATCCAGCTTTTACTGTTCAATTACAGTGATTTCCGACTCCACGTCCCTCATGCCGTCTTGAGGCAGACCGAGCTCATGTAGCTGTGTTATTGTAACCAGAGACCATATAATAGATAATCTATTGGGTTCACCACTATGGGCTAGGATCTAAACAACAGTTAACACAGAGGACGTATCTGACGTTTTCACCCCCGATGAAGTCAAGGTTACGTCGGTCAGTCAATACACTACAGTACAAAAGATACTAGTGTGCAGACGTTGAAACTGAGGGCAATACACAGTAGTCGTTCAGGCAATATATAGTACTCGTTCAGGCAATATATAGTAGACGTTCAGGCAGTGCATAGTAGACGTTCAGGCAATACATAGTAGACGTTCAGGCAATACATAGTAGACGTTCAGGCAATACATAGTAGACGTTCAGGCAATACATAGACGTTTAGGTAATATATAGTAGACGTTCAGGCAATCTATAGTAGTCATTCAGGCAATACATAGTAGACGTTCGGGCATTACATAGTAGACGTTCAGGCAATACATAGTAGATGTTCAGGAAAATACTTAGTAGACATCCAGGCATTATATGGTAGACGTTCAGGCAATACATAGTAGACGTTCAGGCAATACATAGTAGACGTTCAGGCAATACATAGTAGGCATCAAGGCAATATATAGTAGACGTTCAGGCAATACATAGTAGACGTTCAGGCAATACATAGTAGATGTTCAGGCAATACAGAGTAGACGTTAAGGGTATTACATAGTAGACGTTCAGCCAAAACATAGTAGACGTTCAGGCAATAAATAGTAGTCGTTGAGGCAATATATAGTAGTCTTTCAGGCAATACATAGTAGACGTTCAGGCAATACAGAGTAGACGTTGAGGCAATACACAGTAGACGTCCAGGCAAAACATAGTAGACGTTCAGGCAATAAATAGTAGTCGTTCAGGCAATATATAGTAGACGTTCAGTCAATACATAGTAAACTTTCAGGCAATACATAGCAGACGTTCAGACATTACACAGAAGACGTTAGGCAATACATAGTAGACGTTCAGGCAATATATAGTAGACGTTCAGGCAATATATAGTAGATGTTCAAGTAATACATAGTAGTCGGTAATGCATAGTAGACGTTCATGCAATACATAGTAGACGTTCAGGCAATATATAGTAGATGTTCAAGTAATACATAGTAATCTTTCAGGCAATACATAGCAGACGTTCAGACATTACACAGAAGACGTTAGGCAATACATAGTAGACGTTCAGGCAATATATAGTAGACGTTCAGGCAATATATAGTAGATGTTCAAGTAATACATAGTAGTCGGTAATGCATAGTAGACGTTCAGGCAATATATAGTAGACGTTCAGGCAATATATAGTAGATGTTCAAGTAATACATAGTAGTCGGTAATGCATAGTAGACGTTCAGGCAATACATAGTAGACGTTCAGGCAATATATAGTAGATGTTCAAGTAATACATAGTAGTCGGTAATGCATAGTAGACGTTCATGCAATACATAGTAGACGTTCAAAAGGCAATATATAGTAGATGTTCAAGTAATGCATAGTAGTCGGTAATGCATAGTAGACGTTCAGGCAATACATAGTAGACGTTCCGGGCAATATATAGTAGATGTTCAAGTAATACATAGTAGTCGGTAATGCATAGTAGACGTTCATGCAATACATAGTAGACGTTAGGCAATACATAGTAGACGTTAGGCAATACATAGTAGACGTTCAGGCAATATATAGTAGACGTTCAGGCAATATATAGTAGATGTTCAAGTAATACATAGTAGTCGGTAATGCATAGTAGACGTTCATGCAATACGCAAGTAGACGTTCAGGCAATATATAGTAGATGTTCAAGTAATACATAGTAGTCTTTCAGGCAATACATAGTAAACTTTCAGGCAATACATAGCAGACGTTCAGACATTACACAGAAGACGTTAGGCAATACATAGTAGACGTTCAGGCAATATATAGTAGACGTTCAGGCAATATATAGTAGATGTTCAAGTAATACATAGTAGTCGGTAATGCATAGTAGACGTTCATGCAATACATAGTAGACGTTCAGGCAATATATAGTAGACGTTCAGGCAATATATAGTAGATGTTCAAGTAATACATAGTAGTCGGTAATGCATAGTAGACGTTCATGCAATACATAGTAGACGTTCAGGCAATATATAGTAGATGTTCAAGTAATACATAGTAGTCGGTAATGCATAGTAGACGTTCATGCAATACATAGTAGACGTTCAGGCAATATATAGTAGATGTTCAAGTAATACATAGTAGTCTTTCAGGCAATACATAGTAAACTTTCAGGCAATACATAGCAGACGTTCAGACATTACACAGAAGACGTTAGGCAATACATAGTAGACGTTCAGGCAATATATAGTAGACGTTCAGGCAATATATAGTAGATGTTCAAGTAATACATAGTAGTCGGTAATGCATAGTAGACGTTCATGCAATACATAGTAGACGTTCAGGCAATATATAGTAGATGTTCAAGTTATACATAGTAGTCGGTAATGCATAGTAGACGTTCAGGCAATATATTGTAGACGTTCAGGCAATACATAGTTGACGTTCAGGCAATACATAGTAGATGTTCAGGCAATACAGAGTAGACGTTCAGGCAATACAGAGTAGACGTTCAGGTATTACATAGTAGACGTTCAGGCAATAAATAGTAGTCGTTCAGGCAATATATAGTAGTCTTTCAGGCAATACATAGTAGACGTTCATGCAATATATAGTAGCGGTTCAGGCAATATATAGTAGATGTTCAAGTAATAAATAGTAGTCTGTAATGCATAGTAGACGTTCATGCAATATATAGTAGACGTTCAGGCAATATATAGTAGAGGTTCAGGCAATATATAGTAGATGTTCAAGTAATACATAGTAGTCGGTAATGCATAGTAGACGTTCATGCAATACATAGTAGACGTTAGGCAATACATAGTAGACGTTCAGGCAATATATTGTAGACGTTCAGGCAATACATAGTAGACGCTCAGGCAATACATAGTAGATGTTCAGGCAATACAGAGTAGACGTTCAGGCAATACAGAGTAGACGTTCAGGTATTACATAGTAGACGTTCAGGCAATAAATAGTAGTCGTTCAGGCAATATATAGTAGTCTTTCAGGCAATACATAGTATACGTTCAGGCAATACATAGTAGATGTTCAGGCAATACATAGTAGATGTTCAGGCAATACAGAGTAGACGTTCAGGTATTACATAGTAGACGTTCAGGCAATACAGAGTAGACGTTCAGGCAATACACAGTAGACGTCCAGGCAAAACATAGTAGACGTTCAGGCAATAAATAGTAGTCGTTCAGGCAATATATAGTAGTCTTTCAGGCAATACATAGTAGACGTTCAGGCAAAACATAGTAGTTCAGGCAATATATAGTAGTCGTTCAGGCAATATATAGTAGACGTTCAGGCAATATTTAGTAGACGTTCAGGCAATACATAGTAGTCGTTCAGGGAATACATAGTGGACGTTCAGGCAGTGGGCAATACATGGCAGTGTGTAGAAGTAAAGGTAGGGGCAATACATAGATGCGTGTACACGTTGAGGCATGGGGCAATGAATTGTATTTAGTTGGCGCTTAGACAGGGGCAATACATTGTATTTAGTAGGCGCTATATAGTCTGTCGTACAGATCCTGAAGCAAATATATCCAAGAAAGGCCACGCAAGTCTAAAAAATGTGGCAAGTCTAGATTTACTCAGCTTCAGGAAATGAAGAAAGTCTCAGGGCTCCTTTTCATTATATATATTTTTTCTTTACTATGAACTTTTTCCAGTAAAATATGTTCATTTCAGAGACTAGTTGTTAGACTAGGGGCAATACATTGTGGTGTGTTGACGCTGATTCGAAGGGTAAGTAGTAATGTGTAGACGGTAAGACAGAGGACAATAAATAATCGTGTTTAGACGTTGAGTCAGGGGGTAATAATGTCGAGTAGACGTTAAAGCAGTTTGCAATGCATTTAGTGGTTGGAGGTTGAGTCAAAGGGCAATACGTAGTACTGTGGAGACGAATAAAGCAGTGAACAATCGTTAGTACAGAAGGCAATATGTAGCACTGTGTAGACGCCAAAGCTGAGGGCAATAGATGGTAGAGGACAAAAGATAAAAGTGTGTGGACGATAAAGCAGGGGAAATACCTGATAGTGTTAAGATGTGACGACAGGGAGTAGTCCTTTTCATTACCAAGATGTTACTGCAGGAATCGTAGTTACCAGGGAGCATGCACTACCCTCTCCCAGACACTACAGGAGCATCTGATTGGACCATATCAGTGAATTACCATGCGTCGTTCTAAAAGTGTTGTTTCTTTACAGGCATCGGGGGCTTTGTGCGCGTTGATGGACAAAAGAATTTTGTTTTCTACGCAATCCGAGGGAAAAAAACAAAACTTATGCGGCTTATAAATGGCAAAGAGAGTAAAACCCTCACAGAAGTGGATGCACCCCTTGCCTTGGAGATCGTTACCCAATCGGAGTAAGTATATCCCGCTGCCTTGAGATCGATAACCAGTTGGAGTAAGTATATCCCGCTGTCTATAGATCGATACCCAGTCGGAGTAAGTATATCCCGCTGCCTTGAGATCGATACCCAGTCGGAGTAAGTATATTCCGCTGTCTATAGATCGATACCCAGTCGGAGTAAGTATATCCCGCTGTCTATAGATCGATACCCAGTCGGAGTAAGTATATCCCGCTGCCTGGAGACGTTCAAGCATAACATGTAGAGTGTAGCCACTGATATATAAAGAGCGGACATTGTTGAGTTCGAGTTTTAAGTCAGTCATGGTCCGTGCAACGTGGGCAGCGATAAGGACACAGTGATACACTAAATATCAAACACCAGACTGCCTCTCGTGGTATACTATACGTCTTCTTGTTACGAGGCCTGCCCAAAGTTTGGTTGGTTGGTTATTGTTTAATGCCGCACTCAGCAATATTCCTGCTATATGGGTTCGGTCTTTAATTAATCGAATCTGGACCAGACAATCCAGTGATCAGCAAATTTTAGACCCCCCGAGATGGGTTGCGACTCCTTCAGTTCAGGAGTTGTTCAGTCGGTGTCATGTGAGGAGGGCTGTGCATGAATCTCTTGCTGCCCCAGACAGCCGATTGCAACACGACGTCTGTGACGTCATTGAGTTGAAAGTTCTGGAAAAAAGAAATGACCAATTGATGTTAGATCTGGACCAAATAACGTACTTTCCATTGGATTGGATCCGTCCTGTACCACAACTCCCTGCCACCTTTGATTCCAGACTGCTTCCGGGTAATACCTGTAATAATTGTGCTGCGAGCAGGCCCAGATAGTCATTTCTTTCTTATACTTGAAATGTTATACTTTCCACTAAATATTGTTCCTCGTATATCAGTGACAAATTGTCCTGCCGTAGCGATAGTCAACGCGGTCACCGTTTTATATCACAGTTCTTTCAATGTCTACTGTGGGTACACAAGAGTTGCTCACAGCTCAAACAACAACCCCGTGAGTCGCTTTACCGCCGTCATAATGTTTACTGAGGCATCTGCTCAGCTGCTTGCCGACACCATGACGTGCAGTGCGTCACGCCTTCACAGGCCGATAATCAGATGACTCTGTCGACAACTAGTGATTGATCTGTACTCACTGTCATAGGAGTCAATTCCCTATATAGGGCTTCAAATATAAATTATTTCATCATATTTTCTACAGGATATAGGTTGCAATAATTTAATAATTACATTAATAGATCAATATTGATGGACAGTGAGTATGGACCCTTTCTGCAATAATTTTATGATTACATGAAAAGTCAATATTGAGGGACGCAAACTTTTTATGAATATATGAATAGGTCAATATTGATGGGCAGTGAGCATGGGTCTTGACCGCTTCTAGAACTATTCCTGGATTGTGGGGTAAATGTCTTTCACACAGTTCACACATATGGAGTTTTCGGCCTTAGGAACTAGCGGATAGTACTAGTATCTTACCACCGTCCTGTGTTAGTCTGTTCATGGGTAATAAGACTCCACCTAGAAACAGTGATATGTTATGCATTACGTGTGTACCAGTGACACAAGATACAGCGCTTACTGCCGGTTCTACAGTATACAATAATCATACTCTAAAGACACACACTTTCTCCTGCAGGCTTGTGTACTGGGCGGAGTGGATCACCGATAAGCAAATAAGACGAATGAAGTACGACGGAACAGATGTGCAGACGGTCATCAAGCTGCATAGGTGCGATCTGGGACCCTGGGCTGTTCATATTGACGAAAACAGTGCGTAAAGTCTATCTGTTTATTACCTTCCTCAGTTTCACATCTCGCCCAGTTTCACATCTTTCAGTATCCTCCCTCACAATACAAACCTCTCTCATCTTTCTTGGTATGGCCTCCCCCGGGTTCACATCTGTTAGTTTCACGCCTCAGCATCGACCCTCTCAGTACTAACCTCTCCCAGTATTTATTCTCTCAGTACTAACCTCTCTCAGTATCAACCCTCTCAGTACTAACCTCTCTCAGTATCAACCCTCTCAGTACTAACCTCTCTCAGTACTAACCTCTCTCAGTATCAACCCTATCAGTACTAACCTCTCTAAGTATCAACCCTGTCAGCACTAACCTCTATTAGTATCAACCCTCTCAGTACTAACCTCTTTCAGTATTTATTCTCTCAGTACTAACCTCTCTCAGTATCAACCCTCTCAGTACTAACCTCTCTCAGTATCAACCCTCTCAGTACTAACCTCTCTCAGTATTCATTCTCTCAGTACTAACCTCTCTCAGTATCAACCCTATCAGTACTAACCTCTCTAAGTATCAACCCTGTCAGCACTAACCTCTATTAGTATCAACCCTCTCAGTACTAACCTCTCTCAGTATTTATTCTCTCAGTACTAACCTCTCTCAGTATCAACCCTCTCAGTACTAACCTCTCTCAGTATCAACCCTCTCAGTACTAACCTCTCTCAGTATTCATTCTCTCAGTACTAACCTCTCTAAGTATCAACCCTGTCAGCACTAACCTCTATTAGTATCAACCCTCTCAGTACTAACCTCTCCCAGTATTTATTCTCTCAGTACTAACCTCTCTCAGTATCAACCCTCTCAGTACTAACCTCTCTCAGTATCAACCCTATCAGTACTAACCTCTCTAAGTATCAACCCTGTCAGCACTAACCTCTATTAGTATCAACCCTCTCAGTACTAACCTCTTTCAGTATTCATTCTCTCAGTACTAACCTCTCTCAGTATCAACCCTCTCAGTACTAACCTCTCTCAGTATCAACCCTTTCAGTACTAACCTCTCTCAGTACCTTTAACCTCTCTCAGTATTCATTCTCTAGGTACTAACCTCTCTCAGTATCAATCCTTTCAGTACCTTTAACCTCCCTCAGTATTCATTCTCTCAGTACTAACCTCTGTCAGTATTAACCTCTCTCGGTATCTACACTGTTAGTACTCAACTCTCCCAGTACTAACCCTCTCTCGGTATCAACCTTCTCAGTTCGAACCTTTCTCAGTATCTATTCTGTTAGTACTAACCCCTCACAGTATCAACTCTCCTAGTACTAACCTCTCAGTATCGACCCTCTCGGTACTGACCTCTCACAGTATCGTCTCTGACAGTTAAAAATTATAGCAAAGCAGCTTTTACTATATACATGTACTTGAAAAATCATTTGCAACAATATTGATTATACGTGAAATAATTGCACTGTAACCCCCAGATTCCCACCCAATTCCCCAGTTTTCACATTACCTATTATGAGTGTCCAGGGGTAATATGGGTAGAACGTTCATACCTATTGCCCCTTTACTTATACCAGCCCTATACTTGTTTGTTTAACTGTTTGATATGTATTCATTCATTTCAAGACGGAAATGGATTAGTCCTCCACCTTTTGGTTTTTAGAGCGGATGTACTGGAGTGTGAACGATGAGGTGAAGTACAGTGACGATAACCAGGACCACAACAAGACCCTCAGCCAGTTCAACAACATCTGTGACAGCATAAAAACGTTCCGCAACATGGTGTTTGTCAGCTGCACCAACGACACGTGAGACAATAGAGCACAGTTCTGTGGGCAGCTTTAGCAGTTGCGTCCCTTGGACACGCCAGAACCCTATGACCACGTGTTCCAATACGTATTGCAAATGTCATTTTGTCCATTACTCAGCCGGTTAGGTGTTGGTCATTATGAGATATGATCTGAAGAATGTTTACTGAATAATAGAGTCATGTGACATTTTGAGTTTTGATCAGGCAGCGTTCTTAAACTTTCACATACCCCATTATTTGTAGTGTTACTGCTTCTCAAGGAGCCTGTTAAGTCCAACATGCATTGCCATTGTGGACAGCTGTAGCTGGGAAAGGGTTTAACACAGAGGTGTCGATGGTTACTTGATTGCGATATTACTAAACCTTTACACAGTATGATGGCTGGTGTAATCAAAGCTGCTTTGTAAACCATATCAAAGATAGCTCAACACCGGGTGTCTTCAAAGTATGTGCATTCATTGGATGACAATGGTAAAAGTTGCATTTTGGTATCCGGTAGCCATGGGAACCACTTTGACATGGTTCAAACAGTGTTGGAGTCAGAAGGGTAGTGACCCGTGAAGGTCCGGGTTAGAATGAACCTTCAGTAACCCATGCTTGTCGTAAGAGGCGACTAACGGGATCGAGTGGTCAAGCTCGCTGACTTGGTTGACACATGTCATCGGTTCCCAATTGCGCAGATCGATGCTCATGTTGTTGATCACTGGGTTGTCTGGTCTAGATTCGATTATGTACAGACCGCCGCCATATAGCTGGAATATTGCTGAGTGCGGGGTAAAACTAAACGCACTCATTCACTCACTCAGAAGGGTAGTTTTGCCAACGTTTCACCTTCCTATGCCCTTGATGGGAATTGTTTTGTCATGTGAGGTTTCATGGGAGATTTTTCCAAGAATCTTTTGTACAATTTTTTTCAAAAACTCAATACACATTTGTACCAGGCTGAGTGTGTAGCTATACGCCACGTGAGCGAGAGCCTTGTACCCTTTCTGTCTTCCAGACAGACACTGAAATTCAATTTCTGTTAAAAATGTAATCATTCCCATCCCAAGCCATTCCAAGGAACCTACTTCCATACATTTTCACATAAAACAACCTGATGATATTTTCATATGATACACATGTATCTTTGTTTACAAACAACACCCATGCTGAAATACAGAAAAGGAAAGCGATTCCCTTATGACAGTTTTAATCTTGCAATTATTTGTGTACCTGTTCAATTGCTCTGTTGCTTCTTCAGGTCACACAAAGTGTCAGGAGGTATTTGATATCAACAGGAGTGATTTGTTACCGCTATTGTTGGTGCCTTAGACATAGATCAATCTGAGATTTGTCTCATCGAGGTATAAATTACTAGGATAATATTTGTTAATAACGTTTTCAGGACAGTAAGATTGCACGTCAACGGGACAATGCAGGCTCCGCTATCCCTGAACGACCACTTCTCCGGGGAGAAGTTCATCACTATCATACCGTGATAACATTGGAAAAATGTGAGTAGCACTCTTTAAAGTCGCCACGTTCCCCCATGACGTAGGTGTCATCCCCATCAACGGGAAAGATTCTTGAATACAGGTGAGTCGCTCCTAGGGTCAAGGTTGATACAGTCCTACACACCCTCCTACCATGATAACAGCAGAAAGGTTTCTGTGTATGCATACGTTCCTCTTCATTCCTTTCTGTCGTGTAACACACTGATACATGTATATATACTACCCATCAAAGGTTTAGACTCACTAGTGTAAATGTAGCCACTGACTTCAGTCACCTGTTCTAAACTAGATTTTGCAAACTATTCCATACTGTTTAAAAGTACTGTTTACAATGAACTGATGTATTGTAAAAAAAAATTTGTAACGTTGAGAAGATTATTGTCATGGGTTCAATAAATGATACAAATCTTTACACTAAAACGCAGATGTTCACATGCACGATATTTGCACATGCTTTTCAGCAATTTGATACATGGTCCTCGTGCAGTTCATCCGCATAAGGTTTGCAGGTGGTTTCCCCAAGTTAGTGGAGAAATTCATCATTGATGTAACCATATATATATGCATAACATATAGTTAGTGCTTTAAGTGAGTCTAAACTTCTGATGGGTAGTATATATGCATGTCAATCTGTGTTAACAAATTTATCCCCAAGCTAGTGGTATATAATATGATTTAAATAACCCTATGAGACGGCATATGTGTTTAGTATAGAATCAGTCCAGTGCTTTTGTTGTAGGGGCCATACCAGGGGGAGACAACCACAGCACTGTATTCAGGTGGCGTCTTGGCAGCTGCACTGGTCCACTACTGTATGGCGATTTCCCGTCTTAACTTTTACTACAATGTGATCTCCCTTCCGCCATGCGCTGACATCAGTTGTATCGAAACACCCTGACCTGCTACCTGGGAAACATGCACCACGGTGCACAGCCCAAGGAGCCCGGACCTGCCTGTGCGGGGGTACATGAACAGCAGTTACCAGCTACAATCTGCAGGAACTACAACCATGGCCAGCTGTTCTGGTTCAGCTAATTCATCTTGTTGTTGAAAATTGTACTCCTATATTGTCAGCACCACTTAAACCTCCCACAACTGTCAGCTCTACACAGATGCTTAACAGGGATGCAAGCTGTTTTTGTATAAAGCATACGCAAATGTTTGTAATTGTACCTTACAATTTTGCACTTGTTATTTATTTGGTGATATCTTTAAAAAATAATCCGACTACCTGAGTCAAATTGGTTGGAGATTACCCTTGATATAACTGGTATCTAAAGGTGATGTAATGCAGTCTGTAATGACTGGCTGTCTATCAAGACACAGATGCTATGGTGAACAGTGGTTGTAGAGCAGCTCTACACTCACATATACGTGGAGACCAATGGAGCACACCCTGTGAGTAAAACAGCTTGTAATAAGACGACAAATATCACGTGCTTTCACATTTGCTGGTGCTTATCTAAAACTGATGGAAATTCAATGTTGGAAAGTGCTGAAATTTTAAGGCATCAAATACTAGAAAAGTTGCAAATTCTGAAAAAAAAACGGTTTGGATATAGACATGCAAGCATTCAGGACAAACATGTACAAACCATCTTCATAATTTCTATGTGATTTCCCTTCTGCGTGTACGTGCATATCTTTGAAAATATGTCCAGTGAGCAGATGCTATCATATACCAACCGAATATGACATCATATTTATCATTTGTTAAAGAAAAGAATACGATCATTCCACTACATGTATTTATGAATGCTGTTAAGAAAACTATCTTTTGTTTAGTTGGTGACGAATCGCGTCCTTTTAACGATGCTTCAGATGAAGAAATCAGATCGGCGAACACATGTACATCTGTTTCAAATTTACGGCTGTACACAAACCTGTTACCCTCTGTTGTGTAAATACAGGAGGCATACCTTAAGCAATATGTTGTTATTATAACCTTTTCACTCTGTAATGCTCTGTTCTTGTCTCTCTGACACTGGTGTACTCACATTTGTCTGTATGTTCTTTGTTTCTGAAATAAATCTTGGGAAAAAACGATGTCTAACGCGCTTTCTCACCAAACAATCCAGCTTGTGGTAACAGACACCCTCCATTCTATACCATTATAAAACTTGGCTTCTGTTGTACTTATCATCTCCTATATTGCACACCACTTCAGATAGATGCATACATATACTGGAGATTGTTGTTACTCTACATACATACTAACCCACGTATAGTGGAGATTGCTGTTACTCAACATACACACTGCCCCACGTATAATGGAGATTGTTGTTACTCTACATTCATTATATCCCACATGCAGCGGAGATTGTAGTTACTCTACATACATGACATCCCACATGTATTGGAGATTCTTGTTACTCTATATACATGACATCCCACGTGTAGTGGAAATTGTTGTTATTCTACATACACACTGCCCCACATATAGTGGAGATTGCTGTTACTCTACATACATGACACCCAACGTATAGTGGAGATTGTTGTTACTCTACATACATGACATCCGACGTATAGTGGAGATTGTTGCTACTCTTCATACACACTGCCCCACATATAGTGGAGATTGTTGTTACTCTACATACACACTGCCCCACGTATAATGGAAATTGTTGTGACTCTACATACATGACATCCCACGTATAGTGGAGATTGTTCTATTCTTCATACACACTGCCCCACGTATAGTGGAGATTGTTGTTACTCTACATACATGACACCCCACATATAGTGGAGATTGTTGTTACTCTACATACATGACATCCCACGTGTAGTGGAGATTGTTGTTACTCTACATACACACTGCCCCACGTATAGTGGAGATTGCTGTTACTCTACATACATGACACCCCACATATAGTGGAGATTGTTGTTACTCTACATACGTGACATCCCACATGTAGTGGAGATTGTTGTTACTCTACATACATGACATCCCACGAATAGTGGAGATTGTTGTTACTCTGCATACATACTTCCCCACGTATAGTGGAGATTGTTGTTACTCTACATACACACTGCCCCACGTATAATGGAGATTGTTGTAACTCTACATACATGACATCCTACTTGTAGTGGAGATTGTTGTTACTCTACATTCATGACATCCCACATGTTGTGGAGATTGTTGTTACTCTACATAGATGACATCCCACGTATAGTGGAGATTGTTGTTACTCTGCATACACACTGCCCCACGTATAATGGAGATTGTTGTAACTCTACATACATGACATCCCACTTGTAGTGGAGATTGTTGTTACTTTACATAGATGACATCCCACGTATAGTGGAGATTGTTGTTACTCTGCATACACACTGTCCCAAGTATAGTGGATTTTGTTGCTACTCTACATACATGACATCCCACATGTAGTGGAGATTGTTGTTACTCTACACACATGACATCCAACGTATAATGGAGATTGTTGTTACTCTACATACATGACTTCCAACATATAGTGGAGATTGTTGTTACTCTACATACATGACATCCCACATGTAGTGGAGATTGTTGTTACTCTTCATACATACTACCCCCCGTATAATGGAGATTGTTGTTACTCTGCACACACACTGCCCCACGTATAGTGGAGATTGTTGTTACTCTACATACATGACATCCGACGAATAGTGGAGATTGTTGTTACTCTACATACATGACATCCCACATGTAGGGGAGATTGTTGTTACTCTACATACACACTACCCCACGTATAGTGGAGATTGTTGTTACTCTACATACACACTTCCCCACGTATAGTGGAGATTGTTGTTACTCTACATACATGACATCCGACGAATAGTGGAGATTGTTGTTACTCTACATACATGACATCCGACGAATAGTGGAGATTGTTGTTACTCTACATACATGACATCCCACGTGTAGGGGAGATTGTTGTTACTCTACATACATGACACCCCACGTATAGTGGAGATTGTTGTTACTCTACATACACACTGCCCCACGTATAGTGGAGATTGTTGTTACTCTACATACATGACATCCGACGAATAGTGGAGATTGTTGTTACTCTACATACATGACATCCCACATATAGTGGAGATTGTTGTTACTCTACATACATGACATCCCACATATAGTGGAGATTGTTGTTACTCTACATACATGACATCCCACATGTAGGGGAGATTGTTGTTACTCTACATACACGACACCCCACGTATAGTTGAGATTGTTGTTACTCTGCATACACACTGCCCCACATATACTGGAGATTGTTGTTACTCTGCATACACACTGCCCCACGTACAATGGAGATTGTTGTTACTCTGCATACACACTGTTCCACATATAGTGGAGATTGTTGTTACTCTACATACATGATACTCAACGTATAGTGGAGATTGTTGTTACTCTACATACATAACATCCCACGTATAGTGGAGATTGTTGTTACTCTACATACATGACATCCCACATGTAGGGGAGATTGTTGTTACTCTACATACATGACACCCCACGTATAGTGGAGATTGTTGTTACTCTACATACATGACATCCCACATGTAGGGGAGATTGTTGTTACTCTACATACATGACATCCCACGTGTAGTTGAGATTGTTGTTACTCTGCATACACACTGCCCCACATGAAATGGAGATTGTTGTTACTCTTCATTCATGACTTCCGAGATATAGTGGAGATTGTTGTTACTCTACATACATGACATTTCACATATAGTGGAGATTGTTGTTACTCTATATACATGACATCCCACATGTAGTTGAGATTGTTATTACTCTGTATACATACTGCCACACGTATAGTGGAGATTGTTGTTACTCTACATACATGACATCCCACGTATAGTGGAGATTGTTCTCACTCTACATACACACTGCCCCACGTATACTGGAGATTGTTGTTACTCTGCATACACACTGCCCCACGTACAATGGAGATTGTTGTTACTCTGCATACACACTGTTCCACATATAGTGGAGATTGTTGTTACTCTACATACATGATACTCAACGTATAATGGAGATTGTTGTTACTCTGCATACACACTGTCCCACATGTAGTGGAGATTGTTGTTACTCTACATACATGAGACCCCACGTACAGTGGAGATTGTTGTTACTCTACATACATGACATCCCACATATAGTGGAGATTGTTGTTACTCTACATACATGACATCCCACATATAGTGGGGATTGTTGTTACTCTACATACATGACATCCCACGTATAGTGGAGAATGTTGCTACTCTACATAGACGACACCCCACGTATAGTGGAGATTGTTGTTACTCTACGTACACATTACCCCACGTATAGCGGAGATTGTCGTTCCTCTACATACAATACACCCCTCGTATAATGGAGATTGTTGTTACTCTGCATACATACCGCCCCACGTAAAGTGGAGACTGTTGTTACTCTACATACACACTGCCCCACATGTAGTGGAGATTGTTGTTACTCTACAGACATGACATCCCACGTATAGTGGAGATTGTTGTTACTCTACATACACACTGCCCCACGTATAATGGAGATTGTTGTTACTCTACATACACACTGCCCCACATGTAGTGGAGATTGTTGTTACTCTACATACATGACATCCCACGTATAGTGGAGATTATTGTTACTCTACATACATGACATCCCACATATAGTGGAGATTGTTGTTACTCTACATACATGACATCCCACGAATGGTGGAGATTGTTGTTTCTCTACATACATGATTTCCCACATGTAGTGGAAATTGTTGTTACTCTACATACATGATATCCCACATGTAGTGGAGATTGTTGTTACTCTACATAGATGACATCCCACGTATAGTGGAGATTGTTGTTACTCTACATACATGACATCCCACATGTAGTGGAGATCGTTGTTACTCTACATAGATGACATCCCACGTATAAGTGGAGATTGTTGTTACTCTGCATACATACTTCACCACGTATAGTGGAGATTGTTGTTACTCTACATACACACTGCCCCACGTATAATGGAGATTGTTGTAACTCTACATACATGACATCCCACTTGTAGTGGAGATTGTTGTTACTCTACATTCATGACATCCCACATGTTGTGGAGATTGTTGTTACTCTACATAGATGAC